CTGAAAAAGGGAAAAAAAAGAGAATGCGAACTGAAGTCATGGGTCTTAAAAAAGGGAAAATGTTATCCGAGGAAGGGTGAAACATTTCCTGCTCACACTTCGCTTCTTCTAAAGAGGAATTCTCCAGATCAAGCTAAAACAAAAATAATTTAGGCTGGCCTAAAAAACTAAAAAGAAAAAAATGCAAACAGAAAAGGGTGGAAACATTTTTATGTTTCTTTTTTTTTATTTCTGTACAAAAGTAACCAGAATGGAAGGAAACAATTTATTTCGCTCTTTTTTCTTAACTTTTTGTGGTTCTTTTGTTATCCAAAACATTATTTCATTTGTAAAGTAAGTTGTCATCTTGTAATAAAAAATATTTTGTTTTGAACTACTTTTATCTATAGTTTTAAATATAAAATTTTAGTAGAAACGAAAAGTGTAATAAGAAAATTTAATGATTTATACTGATAAAACAATTCTAAATTTTAGGAATTTCTGATAGAATATGGATTTAGAAATTTTTATGGAAGTCTCTATTTGCAGTTTTAGTAATTAAAGTTTAGTGCAAAAAAGATTTACACCGGGAGAAGAGTATGGTCATAACTGCCAGAATATGGTAAAACGCATCATATTTCTGCCTCTTTGGGAGCACCAAGTAGCTTGGTAATTCTTGCCGAAATGCATTGATAATGATTTTGATGGCATTAACGATAAAATATGGTTTTATAATAAGTGATAAATTTTGTAAACGTGGTAAAATTTAATAATTTTATCATGATACTTCAGAACTTGGCATAAAAATTATTTATTTGGTTACAATTACTTTCAGTTTTGTATGTTTACTGAACGTGTAGTAAAAGAAACTATAATTTTGAAAACTAGAACTTCTTTTATACCATTACTATGTGAATGTAAAAATTACCAAAGGAATAGTTTAAATACCGTATGTTTTGTTTTTATTAACCATAATTTCATTTTTTCTTACCAAACATCTTATTACTATACAGTGAGGAAATTTTACATGAATTTATTTCTCTGGGTTAAATAAAAATCAGATGATTTATCCAACTAAAATTATGAACATAATTTTTTTTTTCAAAATTTATGATTTTTTGTAGAGACAAAATAATATTTTACTTTTAAAGGTTCTTTATCTTTGTCATTTTATTAGTTAAGTAAGTTGTCATCGTGAAATATAAATATAATTTATATCTAAATGAAATATATATTTCATACGAATTACTTATTACTTAAATATTTTTTAAAACATTACAACAGAAATTTGATGTACTTTTATTTGCGTTAAAATTACTAATCGGAGTATTTTGACAAATCATGAATTAAGACTATTGTTTTCATTGAGTTAAAATTGAAAACTTCTGTGATTTTTTTTACCTACACAGTTACATACTCATACAGTTGATTTTATTTAAAATTTACGCCACGATTACATGCACATACAGTTTTACACAGACACTTCTATACACATACAGTTAATTTTGCTCAAAATTGACTCCACGTTTACATGCAGTTTTACACATACAGTTGCATACACATACAATTGGTTTTACTAAAAATTGACTCCACGTACAGTTTTACACATACACTTACATCCACAAACAGTTGAGTTTACACAAAAATTTACTCCACAAAAAATTGTACCCTGAAACTTGATTAAAAAATTCCATAGTTGTCTGAGTAAAATTCGAAATTACCCTCAAGGAGAAAATGATAGTTAAAGTTTTGTTAGCGATAATTTGAAAAGTAATTTTTGTGAAATTTTTTTATCCTTTATGACGAAAAACGAAATTAACTTCAAAGTGATTATGGGAGTAAAAAAAGACAGGAGTTCGCGAAGAAATAAAAGTGTTAAAAAAATGAAACCGATAATTGTATAAGGTTTTTAATTTTGTAATAAAATTTAAAAAAATTTCTAGTAATTAAATTAGGATAAATGTTATTATTATTTTTTTGTACAGCTATATAATTGTTGATGTATTTTACTACAAAAATGTGGGTAAGAAAGGAAAACAACGAGAAAACTCAAATAATAAATTATGCAAAAAAAAAAATCCAAGATGGGTTTTAGGTTAAATTTATCCCGTTATGGACAGTTTTTGCTAGGATAAACTATTTCAGAAAAATTTAAATTTTTGAGTCACTAGAATATTGAAACAAGTTTTTTATTACATTTAAATTGCAAAGTACAAAAACGAAGAAAAAGAAAACGAAGCAGATGTAAGTGTTTGAGCGACAAAAGAGTTCTGACCTTTGAATGAGGCCAACATTCTCAGATGATTAATGTCGTGTCTCTTTTTTTCATTCAATATATTTTTTTAAGTGTGCGTGTTTAAGTTTTCATTACTGTGACGTCTTTTCATCATTCTATTAGTGAAGCTCTTTACATCTGTTCCCTTTGGCGATGGATTCACGAAATAGGAAATACGATATTCGTGTCTTTCAAAGAGCGGCAGATAACGAATTTACATTTCAAGTTGCCTCTTAAACATGAGGGAGTTATATGAATAAATATATCTGTGAGACAGTCAAGTTACTATGAGTTAATAGAGTTTCAGGAGTTTTATTTGATTAAAATGACTAGAAATTTGTGATCAAGTTTTAATACATTTGCCTAACTTCTTTCAAAAGATTTATAACATTTAAAAAAAGCCCGTACTAAAATTAAGAGAAATAGTTTCAGGACTTTTTCCAAATTTTTATACAATTAAAAATTACAATTTTATAAAATATTTTTAAAAAATGAGGTTCATGACATTTCGGTCTATTCTGGATTCAGACCCGTTCGTAATTCGATTCGTTTATTTTGATATTCCAACCCACTTCCTACTTTTTTATTACATCAGTTTAAATTAATTTTTATTTTTAACTCCTTTTTCTCCATTATATCAATAGATTAAGTGTGGATTGGGTTAGGAACAATCTCCCAAAACACATGAAATCCAAAATCCATTTTAATTACCGTCATCATTATCCATGTAATTAAATTAATTATTATGCAATAATATGTTATAATTATGAAGTTTGGTAAGCAAAAAATAAGTGAGGATACTAAATACTTCCACAAGATGCAATCTGGTAATTCTTTTCAAATAAATGCTGCGTTGAAAGAAAGAAAACGTTTGAAAAGATGCTAAATGTAAGTAGCCAAATATTAATAAAATAGAAATAAAGATAATTACAATAACATAGGTAAAGAATTTCAAATTATTTTTAGTTTCATGACATTAAAATTATTTATAAAATTAAAAACTACAATCTTATTAAGCAATGTTTCATGACTTTTTCAAAAAATGTATACGATTTGAAATTTTATAAAATAAAGCTCTAAATTAAAAGAAAGTTTCATGACTATTTCTAAAGCCATACAATTTCAAAATATATGACCTTATTGAACCCAAAATTAGATTTAAATCAGTTAATTTTTCAATGAAAAAAAAAATATTTAAAAATACGAATGCAATATTCCTAGACAAGTTTACTATTATCTAACAATTTAAATACTATAGCTAACGCAACAAGTATACAATTTTGCATTGTTACGTATACAGATATGGTATAAGTTAAACTATATAGTTTGAAATGACAAAATACTAGCTTTGAACGAAGTCGTTTTAAACAATTTTTTTAATAAACTACACTGAAAAAAATTCCAGACCAAATTACCGTATATACTAGTACTTTGTGTACATCATCCGTAAAATCTATTTTACGTTAAAATCAATTTTTACCGTAAAATATTATGCCGTAATTTCTAGTCATTTTTAATGTAATAATTAATGTAAAAATTATTGTAAATCAGATTTATTGTTCCTTAACATGTCTCGATAAAATGAATTTTTAGTAAAAATTGCTACTAACCTGAGTATTCCCACTTTTTACAGAAATGTGATTCGAAATTTTTACAGTGTAGTCAAGTTTTTATCTAACAATTTAAGTACGATAGCTAACAAAATGATCATTTTCATCAAAACTATAATTCAATGGAACAGTTTACTTTGCAGAATGAAATGCAAAATAAAATTATATAGTATTAATCAATTTTTTATTATTTTATTAATTTAGCATTGACAAATATACTGATATTATCTAGCATACTAGGAACATCTTGGTTCTGACATACTTAGAACGAAGTCGTTTAAAAGAATTTTTTCTCTTTGAGTTAATTATGTGTTTTGTAAACTAACAGTTTGAATTTTGAAATTTAAAGTTGCATCGTTTAAAGTAATGTAAAAATACGTATGCTTCATATTCAAAATTTTTCCAGTTATTTAAATTAAATATAAAAATAGAAATAAATAAATAGTTTAATGTTTTATTTTTTGCGCGAATCTTAGAATCAACGAAATTTTTCATTATATTTAAAACTTTAAGATTAGTTTGAATAGTTTGAAAAATGTATTAAAATACATAAAAAAAATTTTAGATTGCTTCTGCTATTATTTTAGAACCAAAAATTCGAAGCCATGGAAGAAAAATGCGGTATTTATTCAGATAAAGTGCGTTTTATTGTCGGGGTTTTTAACTTAAAGTATCATCTGTAGTAATAATTAAAATCTACCAAATCAATTATAAAAATTGTACGCAATAACACAAAATCCAACGTTTAGATCAAAAGTTTTTCTTGTTTTCTTTCATTTTTTACACTTTGTTCAGCCTAACTATTTCTGGAACGAACTATTTATCCTGTTACATTAAACCGTTTTATATATTTTTGCTTTAAACGGTTATAAAATTTTAAACTGGAAATAAATTGAATCTATATTATAAATACGTGTCACTGATTTATAAGTATGTATAAATATTATTTGAAAGCATAAGCTCCTTAATTCCGTTCATTCACCCACTCGAAAGCACAGAAGCACAATTCTCTTCAAGAGAAAACGATTATCCATTTTAATGTCTTACTCATTCTCTCATTCCAAATACCTAGAACAAAACATTATCCAATCTTCCTCCCTCCCCGAACAGCCGATGAGTTCAGCATGCCTTCAGCTGAAGACAGTCAGATGAAGTTCAGAAGCGGATATCAACTGACGCACACACAACTCATCGACCACTCCCGGAATCGGGAACACATGCGATGATTTTCGCGGTCCTCTTTTTCCTCTTTTCGGGACTTATTGAAGGATTACTTGCTTTCGGTTATTATAGCGACACTGATAACACTTCCGGTGGCGGATCGAATAAATTGCTTTTGATACTCGTGGACGGTTGTCGGTGGGATTATCCTGACCAGGACGTTGTCGGACTTCCGGGATTTAGGAAATTAGCTGAAAACGGAGTACGCGCACCGTACGTCACTCCTATTTTTCCTTCGAATTCTTATCCAAACTGGTATACCATTGTTACAGGTAAGTTTACCTTTAATAAAAAATTTAATCGATTGATGTAATTTGTAAATAAATTTAATTAAATTAAATTAATGACTATTCTGACCAAAGATTAAAATATATCAGATTTAACGCTTTTCCAGGTTTAATCTATTATAATATATATTAGCAATATTTTAATGCAATAATTTATTCAACATTGAATCAGAAAAATGTTGATTCAAACTTGGTATTAATATCCCTTTGAGTTATTATTATTTGAAGAAAATAAAAAGACGATATAATTTTTTTTTCCTAACTAGCCTTTGCTCGTTAAACACAGTAATTGCTTTGCATACATCATTGTTATACCATTGTATACCATTGTTACAGGTCAGTTAACCTTTAATAAGAAATTTTAAAGATTTATGTGATTTGTAAATAAATTTAATTTAATTTAATTAATGACTATTCTGACCAAGGATTAAAACATATTAGATTAAACGTTTCCCTAGGTTTAATCTATTGTAATATATATTAGCAATATTTTAATGTAAAAATTTATTTATCATTGAATCAGGAAAATATTAATTCGAATTTGCTATTAATATCCTTTTGAGTTATTATTATTTAAAGAAAATACAAAGACGATATAAAATATAATTTTTTTCCTAACTAGGCTTTGCTCGCTAAACGCAGTAATTGCTTCGCATTCATCATTGTTTTTCCACTTAAACGTCAATACTTTCCACTAAAAAAATATTTCGTTTTCATAATATTAAATTATTATAGCCTTATGTAAGAACATATTTTTAATGTGTTAATTGTAACGAATTGAAGGATTATCTAGATTTGGAAAAATAATCATCTGAACTTGCGGAAAGAAGTTTAGCCTAAAGGATACTGAATTAACACGAATAACTAAAAGAGATGTTATTTTACTCCTTGATGAGATTTTTAATAAATCAAATAGAGAGCGATTCTTATATTTGGCAAAATGTAATCTCTCTCTCTCTCTCTTTTTTCTTTTTTGTTGCTACTTTTGAGTGATATTATTTACTCGATCACGAGCTAGTAAGATAAAGAAAGAACTATCGTGACTGAAGCATAAATTTTCTCCTACAATAAACAAATACTCTATACTCAAAGAAAGAAAAGCTGAAAAAAAAAACCATAAAAAGGCAATTAAATTTGCAATAACTTTCGAACAAATTTAGAATTTCGAAACAAAATTCACGCTAAGTTTAAAAATAAGAAACGCTTTTTCATCATCACAAATTTTATCTCCGTAGTTGCATTTTTAAGGGCTACAAATCAATTAAACATTGTATTTTTTTCTATCAAGTTTAACGGTTAATAATTCCCGAATTAATTTTTGAATTTTTTACTCCGTCGCATTCCCTGTACTTTTTTTCTGTATACCTTACTAGCTTCAAGTTTCAAAGTTTCATAGAATTTATGCAGCAAAGCAAATAATAATAATAATTCACACAAACAATACTTAAAATTGCAATATTGTTCGAAAAAATTGAAATTTCGAAAAAAAAACTCGCTATTAAATTCATAAACAAATATGGTCCATTCAGCATAACAAATTTCAACTATATGAAGTTGCATTTATTCCAGCGGGCTGTATTCTCGAACTAATTATTACTAATTAACGTTATGTTGAAAATACTAATTAACGTTAAGTTAAAAAGACAAAACAGCGGCAGCTTCGGCAGCTCTTATCATTTTTCGATATAGAGAGATATTTAAATTGTATAACACTTATTTAGAATTATCTTATTACTTCCCTCGAAAAAGTACAAAATTGGATAAAGCTTTTGATATTTGAGTAAATTTATATTTTAAATTTTATAAGATTTAGAACATTCTAAATTTAGAATATTTTGAAGTTAGAGAGTTCAAATTCTAGATTACTCTAAATAACCAAAATTTTCAATACAATGCTTAAATTTTTTTTTACTATTCAGTATGTTTTTAAACAATCCATAAATTTTATTTGATAAATAGTAATTTCAAGGAACCGGTGGTACCTTTAAAATGTAATGCAATTCGGTTACTTTGAAAAATTCGAAATTACAATTATTTATATGTAAATAATATTCAAATTATTCATTATGGGTTTTGTAAAGCTGTGATTTTCAGAGTTCTTAGAATCACGGGACACTTTCAATTTTAAAAGATTTTCGCTTAATTTTAGCATAAAATAAATCATTATGATTTGTTTCTAAATTTTGCTTAATGTTAAAGGATCATGAATTTAAAAATTTCAATCAATAAAAAACTGCTTAATGCTGAACAGTAATGATTGTACGTTGAATCTTAATACATAATAAATTTATTACAACTTACCAAAGTGTTAATCTGAACCATATTTCCGTTTAGTATAACGTAATATAGTTCAAGAGTCAGCAGTTATGGCTCTACTTGGTGCCGTATTTAGGAAGCAGAAAATTTATAAGATTTTGTGTTTCAGCGTATTACTAAGTTTTTAAAAGTGTACTACGTTACAAGCTACAAATAATTTTCTTTTAAATTTTGAATGTTGTATCTAAGTCTGGTGATTTTTGTCAGAATTTTAAATTTCTGGTCTTATCTGCAAAATAGTCTGAAAAATATTAACCATTATTTACTGGTTTGATTCTCTGTATTAAAATTAATGTTGAATACTTAATGCTGAATAACATAGTTCAGTTTCCAGTATTAAAAGTCGTAATGCAGTTTGGTTATTATATAAATAGTTTTAGATAGATTCGATTGGTTTTAAATTGTAAGTTTTTAACTGTTTGTTCCAAAAACAGTATTTCTTTAGTACTATTTTTGGAAACAAAACTTAATCTTCTTATAACGAAAACTATGTACTCAATATTTCTAGCTGATAATATGGATTTCCGTAGTTCATAATTTGTTTAACTTCCTAATTGCTACATTTTTCTATGAATTTCGCAAGCGAAGATTACTGAATACCCGGATGATTGTTTCTAAGGTAATCTGTCGCAAATATCTTTTCTCTTGTTACATAATCTGCTTGAGCTAACAAATTTTTCTGCGACATTATGCTATGTCTTTAAGACACAAAGCTCATATTGTGTTTATAATTTGAAAACACTCTATAAAAATTATCCTTTTTATTGTTTTTTCTTATCAGAATGCATTTTATTAGCATTTGCTTTTTTTTACTAATCATGAGTTATGCAAGTTGCTTCGTATAATAACTAAAGAAGCATATACTTACGGTTGAAATATAAATAAAACCCTATACCAATTAATTAAAAGCTTACAGTTAGTGCATCCCAGAACAGCTCGATCAACGTTTTTTTTTTTCATTTTCTCCCTATTTTTAATCTTTTTATTAATATTCATTTAGATCAAATTGATTTAAATGTAAAGGGGATTTTTCGGATGCTGCACTCAGGGTGCCAGTACTTTTTACCTTAATTTGGTCTGGAATTTTTCACAGTATACAATTACAGATTAAGTTTAAATCCCTCTTCATTTGGAGTTCTCCCACCCCAAAATAATAGCGTAACATTTTTCCTTCCAAATAAAAATAATTGAATTATTTTAAAGTATACCAAACTTTTAAAAAATTTTGCTTTTTATTTTTAAATAAAATCCAATAGAGTATCTCAGTTTTGTTCCTTTATGTGCAAGATTGAGCAAAATTCAATGAATATATTTTATTCCAGTAAAGTATATTTTTGATTTCGAAACGAGTTTTATCAATTTTGATATTCAAGAAATTGCCAATGAAAAGTCTTTAATCCTTTAAAGGTGAAACCAATCATTATTGGGTAAGATAGCTACCTTATTTTATATTATGTAACTACATTTTAATATTGAAGTAAGTGAAGTTCGTTTCTAAAAGATCTTAATTTACAATTGATTGCTTAGAGTACTCGTTGGGTTTTCTGCACCTGATGACAGTGCATTTTCAATTGTTTCCTGATCATCATGTGTGTCATCGTAATGTCGTGATCGTCATCATCACGTTATATCATCAAAATGAATTTATCGTCTATCAAAATTTCAATCCTTTTTCAAATAGTGAAAGTGTTCAGATTTAAACTGAAGCTGCTTCGTAAATAAAGCTGAAAAATTATAAACCTTTTATCGTCATTCAAAATATTGATAAATTTGCATTAGCAGCAAAATTGCAGACGCATAATCAGAAAGAAAGAAATAGTTTAAATGCTCGAATATCAACTGGAGTCTATACCTGATGAAAATGCTGAAGTGCAATAGAATAACCAACATAAAGGACAAAAATTTCAAAATTTGTTTTATCAGTTTTTTGAGATTCTGTTCTAACATTCATAGCATTAACAACAGAAAGAAGAAACTGTCAAGCTTTCAAATCTATCATGAAGAATTTATGTTGTTTTTTCAATTGCACTGCAGATTGTCATGCTTCGTGAACAAGGAGAGCAAAATTTATAACCCTTTTATCATTATTCATAATTTAAACCATTCTGCGACATAAACAAATAACAAGCATAAAACTAATAAGAAATAATTCATCTGCTTAAATTTTAACTTTAGCTCTATACCCGACGATAATATATATACATTGTAAAAATTTCCGGATATAATTGCGGTGAAAGTACCGGCAATCAGGGTGTTAGTGATTTTACTGTAAACTTTTGCTGAACAAAACTCCGATATACAGTAGTTTTTGCCGTAATATTTACTGTAAAAACCACTGACTCACTGTAATTATAAGGATATTACCGCAAAAATCACAGTTTAACATTTTGCGATAAAAATTAATTTTACGGATGCTACACTTAAGGTGCGATTATCTCTTTTACGAAAATTTGATCAAGAACTTTTTGCAGTGCAAATAGCATCTTTCATAAATATAGAAAGAAGAATGTATTTCCTACTTATCGTTGTTCGGAATTCTGACCAACTAATAGACGCAACCTAAAATAAAATAAAAAATGAGATGAATAAACAACACTTTTAAGAATAAAATTAAAAACAAATTAATTTTATTTAAAAAATTGAATTTTTAAAAAAACTGTAGACAAACA